TAGTCACATTGGTTTTAAACAGTTCTTCTGACAGGCGTGTCACCGTATTTCACTTAGCACGCGAACTGAAGGATTTTGTGACAAATTAAATTACTTTATGTATTACAAAATTTTTCAATTTTGTGTAACTTATTTATTTAATCTATGTGTGTGTTGCATGCACACGTGTGTGTATGCACATATGCAGATCAACGGACAACTTAAGGGAGTCAATTCTCTCCACCATGGCAGTTGTAGCAATTGAACCCACGTGGTCAATGCTGGCAGCAAGCGCCTTTAACCACTAAGCCATCTTGCCAGCCCTCAACTCAGTTTTGTTTTGTTTGTTTGTTTTTAAGCTACTACATTTGTGACTGTGATAATGGTGACAGAGGGCATTGGTAGTCATTGATCTACTTCTCCAAATAAAATTTTAAGCTTTTCCTTCCAAGAGGAACCCTCAGTACAAACTGAAGACATCAAATGAAATGTTCTGCTTTCAACGAGTGACATGCTCCCCTCAGTATTTAACGAGTAATTACAAAGTTAGTCCTGGACACAAAGATGAGGCCAGTAGCCATTTCCCTCTGAGTGTTTCTGACATATTTAAGGCATATCTATGTGCTTATATTTAGGTTATTCTTTGTCTTCTTTTTTCTCTTAAATGAAATATTACTTGTTTTGTATACTCACATTGACTTCTGCATCACTGTGAGGTGTCACTTCTTGGCTCTTTGCCTTAGGGTAGTTAGAACTTACACCTTCTTTTTAATATGTTAAAATGTTTAGCCATACTGTGTGCCATCTACCAGAAATGGAAGCTATTTGCCTTGGGCTCTGTGCAATTCAGACTCAAACCTGTTAGGAGTCAGGGCAGGGCAGACTTCCAGTCAAGCCTAGTCATTAGCTTCTAGTGGTAGAAAGACTAGTGACTCAGGCTCCCACATCCTCTGAGTGTACACTCAGAGTAATCAGCAGTTGCTTTCTAATCTGCAATTGAGTTGTTTCTATCCACATTCAGAGTGAATTTGGTATATCTGAAAAGGTATGCTTTGGCGTCTACTAAACGTTGATATTAACTGTGGTAGTCACCCATCATGTTAACAATGTAACACTGCTGGAAAGTCATGACAACCTGTTGGTTTGGCTTCGGACTTGATGTTCTTCAGGAGCCATTCCTCTTTGTAATAGTCAGTGAAGAAATACCTCATCTCTTTACATGGGAGTTATCGGCCGGGAGTTCGTGCAGACACGGGTCCCTCGCCTTTCCCTCTGCAACCTGCTTCCCTCCAGCTCTGCATGGTTGGCACAGCAGTTTGTTGAGTTCTGACTTGAAAAGCAGGCTTCCCCCAACCACAGGTGTCATTAGCCAATTCATGTGAGCACTCAAGTATCTCCATGTGCATTCTCACGGAAGCGACCGCTCCATACACTTTTATTTTGATCCATCAAATTGATCCTTATTTTATTTTCACACAGATGACAGTGAGCGGAGTGGGATTTCTAAGCTTAAAGTGGCTCCCCCAAAATTAGAGCATTAACCCCAAAAGCACTGAATTCCCTGATCAGCTTGCTGCTTTCTGCTCAGACTTGGAGAGGGCACCTGCTGTTTAATGTAATTAGTTTCAAAGGGAATGTCAAATCAGTCCTCTGGACCCAAAACCCTCCTAAGGAAGGATCAGGGAGACAAAACAAGACAAGTTACTACAGTCAGGAAACTCCCCTCCTATATTATTCGGGGTCAGTGTTAAGGGGTCCACTTTGCTGTCCGGCTTACTTCTAGTTACCAAGTGCTCTCAAGACAGGGCTCTCACAAGTGCTCCATGGAGCATGTTTGACTGCATTAGGAAAATCAGTACATTTCTGGAAATTCAACATCAGTTTTCAGTTTTCACAATACTTAAAAAGACAAATTAGGCCAGGTGGTCTTCAACCTGCATTTTTCCCCATGGGCATTCAAAAGTATGCCAAACAAAGCTATTTCCAAGTCCCCTTTGGTGCTAAAACTCACCTTACAACGAGCTGTAATAAAAAGCAGAAGGGGACTGGACTGCCCGCAGGTTAAGGCCAACCCAGGGACATCACTGTTCTGTTTGGTTATTTCTCCCACAGCTTAAATGACAGTCGCTTATTTGATCAGCAACATGAATGTCATCCCCTCTTTGCTGATTTTTCCCTCTGTCGTCTGTCTTGGTAAGTCTTGCTTCCCTAGCCGAACAGAACTGACTTGTGTTCCAGCATCTCATGGAGGAGGTATGGATGAGGTGAAGTGGGAGCCGCTTACTCTTGTGGGAGCAGCAGGATGAGAGAGGGACCCTTAAGGAAGTTCAGGGAAAAAGTACAAGACTTGGATCCTCGGTCCCACCCCAAAAGATGAGCTGGCAGGACAGGGTTCTGACTCTCTTGAATGCCATCTCTTCAAGCTAGTAAGTATTCTTAAGTTGACCCACCTCGAAGGTGATGGTTAAGTGACCCAGCCCCTGTGAGGCCAGTAATTGAGACACAAAACATCCCAAAGACATTAGATGCCATTTGTTTGTTTGTTTTTGTTTTTGTTTTTTCATAGCAGATCCCTTGCTTGGTAGCCTACCTGTCTATAAATCCTTGTGAACTGAGCTTCCAACAGCTTTTGGTCAGATGCCGTTCCCAAACAGAACATTCCACCTTCAGCCTGTAGCTATAGTATTTCTCTTTGTAAATGCAGCCCGACCTCTCTTTCTCAGTGTTTACCTCTGATTCTGTCTATGGAGTAACCCTCATGCATTCAAAGCTCTTGGTTGTTTAGCTTTGCTTCGTGTGAGACAGGTTCTAGCTGCACAGTCCAGGCTGACTTGAAATTGGCTCTCTCTCCTGTGCTCCCCTCCAGGGACGACAGGTGTATACCACGATGTAGAGCCAAAATCCTGTCTTAGATCCGGAGGTACAGTAGTGAATGAGACACTCACTCAATCCTGCCCCCTTGGAGCTGGAGTTGAGTGGAGGAAAACCAAGTGAATGTAAAAGGAAATACAGGAAGCAAACGAGACATCAGGAAGGTAAATGTCTGGGTGCCAGTGGTGAGGGCGACACCTGTGAGGTGGCGTCTACATGGAGGAATGCTGTCCATGGGAAGTGAGTGTGTGGACTCACTGTGGGCCAGAGGACCGCTGAAGCGGAAGTGTCTCAGCGAGTGGGAAAGGATACCAAGTAATGCTGCCAGCAGGCTGGCGCTGAAGAAAGAGACAGCAGCCTTCAGACACTGGCAACTGGGGGGATAGACGGAAGTAAGGAACGTGATGGGGACTGGAGTGGCAGATTATTATTGTTTCAGGAAGTAAGTCATCCTTTAGATATTTTGAAATGGACATGTTTGTAAGACATTCGGGTGGGAAGGAAAAATTTTTTAAAGAAATTCAAGTGGGCATGTTAACTACATCTTTATTTCTGTGAATCTAAAGCCTGCGTGAAAAATCCAGCGATTTGCTAGCAAGTTGTGCCTCATTAGTGTTAAGGTTTTTAAAACCGTGGAAGAAAGTGTGCCAGAAAAGAAAGTGACAGCAGAGGCTTGAAGACCTCTCTGCATTCTGAGAGGTAGGAAAAGAAGCAGCAAGAAGTAACAGTAGGAATGTGAGAAGACAAAATCCAGGAGTGTGTGAGGAAGCGGAAGTAAATGCAGCATTTGAGGAAGGGGAAGGGGCCCTTCGGGGGCTGCTCAGAAGTTGGGTGTGTGAAAACAGAACTGACTGTTGGATTTAACAACACAAAGAGTTCTGCAGGAAACAGCCTATGCTTGAAGCTGCAGTCAGTCTGTGACGATGGAGAGGGAAGGAGCTACCGATGAGATGGGGAGACTGCGCCTGAGAACTTTGCCAGAAAGAGCGGGGAAGTGGAGTAGGGTCTCAGGCTGCAGGGGCTTCGTTCACTTGTTCTGTTTCACGGCAAGATATTGGAACACACATACATGCTGACACTCATGGTTCTGCAGAGATGAGCAGTGGGTGGGCGAGTGGATGGGAACATTGATGGGTGCAGATTGATAATAGAATTAATCAGTAAGCATGAGAAGGAAAGCAGTAACTGAATAAATAGGTAACTGAAAAAGAACAAGGGATGTGCCAAGAATCAGAGGGGTGTCACACAAGCCAGTGTGGAAGTAATAGAAGAAGAAACATTGCTTCCATAAAGCTCAGGCGGTAGAAGCAGGAGAGAAGGGAAGCGCAATGAAGAGGCCAGGCGCATCTTTTTGTTCTCCTAATGTATGAAGAGGAGCTGTCAATCAGGAGGGAAGATAGAAGGCCAGATGGTGGTGGTGCACGCCTTTAATCCCAGCACCTGGGAGGCAGAGGAAGGCGGATCTCTGTGAGTTCAAGACCAGCCTGGTCTACAGAAACAGTGCCAGGACAGCCTCCAAATCTACACAGAGAAACCTTGTCTCAGAAAAAAAAAAAGAAAAAGAAAAACAGAGAAGGTAGATGAAAGTATACAGAGGAAGTAGACAGAAGAAGACTCAGGAAGGCTGGGTCTCCAGATAGCAACAGCACCTTCTGAAGTTCAGCAAATTCTTCAAGACAGGAAGTGTCAGGCCCCACCAGAGGCTGTCCAGGTTAGAACTGTTGGTGGACTGTGCCAGACAGCCTGAATGAGCCTTGTAGGTGATTCTGGCAGAAGCTTGAAAGCTGCTGTTGTTGAGAAGAAGGAACAAGGTTGCTGGGCCATATTCACGAGGATAAGAGCTTGAACTTTAAGTCAACATGATAGGCTCGCTCAGTCCTCCGTTTGGAGTTGTAGTTGAAGAGATAAAAAAAACAAGCTAGTCTATAATGGAAACAATTGGACACGTCTTCAAAGGTGTGATTTCCTCACTGTGTTTAGCAGTGTGGGCCAGGACATGGATAAGAGAATGCTGGAGGTCATCCTGAGCAGAGATGTCCTGGGGGCGGGGGAGGCATGGGACTGATGGTATTGGAGGGTTTTGGGGACTGATTTTGGGGTGGATTTGGAATCTTAAGCTGCACAAGAAGGACAGAAAAGCTAGAAGGTACCTGGGAAGTAAGAAAGAATCTGGTCAGCAGGCTGAGGGCTCACTGTAGCAAAATCTCAGAATCAGTACGCAAAAGGGCCTTGGATGCAGGAAAAGGGCCTGGGTGATCCGCCGATCCTGCTGCACTGCAGAGATGCTTTGAAGGGCAGGCTTCCATGAGCCCTGTATGTATACAACAGTCTGTGGAAGAAATACATTCCTTGCCTGTGTGAACACACTGAGGGGCCAGGAAGTTACAGCATAGTTGGATTATGTACAAAACACAAGTTGTTTTTTTTTAATTAATGGTAACATAATTAAAAACAGAAGATGATTCCCTTTTTTCCCCCAGTTTCTGTAACAGATTATTATGTTCCTATAATAAAAATATGTAATGAACTATGTCAGGCTTTTATTTATTCATTCTTAGTTTACAAAAACCTGTGTTTACTAGATTATTGCTATGGACCATGCACTATTGTAAGTTGCTGTCGCTTGAGCTGAACTTTACCATGACCATCCTCTGAAGGAGATCCTGCCATTGAGCCTATTTATAAATGAGAGAATTGGAGCACTCAGGGCCCAACAAACTAGTTCATCCCAGTTTGCTTTCTAATACTGTGATAAAGACCATGACCAAGAGGGCTGGAGAGATAGTTCAGTGGTTAAGAACATTACCTACTCTTCCAGAGGTCCTGAGTTCAATTCCCAGCAACCACATAATGGCTCACAACCATCTGTAATGAGATCAGGTACCCTCTTCTGACCTACAGGGATGCATGCAGACAGAACTCTGTCTACATAATTAATAATTAATTGATTAAATTTAATTAATTAAAAAGATCATGACCAAAAGGGTGTTTGGCTTATACTTCCCAGTCACAGTCCATCACTGAGGGAAGCCAAGACAGGAGTTTTAGGGGCAGGAACTGAATCAGATCATGGGGGAAAGCTACTTATTTTTCATTGCTTGCTCGGTTTCCATTCTTAGATACCCCATGACTACCTGCACAGGGGTGGCACTGTCTACAGTGAGCTGGACCCTTCCACATCAATCATCCATCAAGACAATGCGCCACAGGCTTGCTTACAGACAATCTGATGACTGAGCTTGTGTCGAGTTGACAAAAAACTAGCCAACATGTAGTCAAAGATTAACTTCCCGAAGATTTAAGCAAATAAATGTTCAAAGGAGCACGAACCTCACGGAGTTGTTGTAAACCAAACCATTCTCCTGCCCTGTCGCTTCTCAGTAACTGTAAAGCGATCTGTGTCCTTGATTGCTGGTGGCCCAGTGTTCAGCAGCCACTGAAGCTTGAGGGGACATCTGTAGAGAACTGGGTGGGCAGGCAAAGGAACAAGTCTGGGCCCCCAGGCATCTCCCCTGTCCACTTATGCCTCAAGGTGAGGGTGGCTTTGTACACAACCTGGGGTAGTTTGTGTGGATAGTGAGGTAGTAGTGACAGGCTGTCTGGGTTGTCATGGTTACCTGGGGTGCATCTCCTGAACCTCTCACCCAGCACCAGTGATGTCCACCCAAAATGTTACCTTGAGATGCCAGATGTTCAGCTTCTAACTACTTCTTATAGCAAGGTTTGTTGTCAGACTATCTTTGGATCACTGGCCCCCAAATAATGACATGGAGACTTATCATTTATTATGAAAGCTTGGCCTTGGTTTAGGCTCTCAACTAGCTCTTATAATTTAAATTAACCCATTTATATTAATCTACATTCTTCCATGTGGCGTTACCTCATCCCTGTACTGCCCATCCTGCTTCCTCTGAGTCTGGCTGTCAACTCTGCCTTTCTTCTTCCCAGAGTTCTCTCTCTGTCCAGAAGTCCCGCCTATACCCCCTGCCTATCTCTTTATTGGCTGTCTAGAAGTCCCGCCTATACCTCCTGCCTAGCTCTTTATTGGCTGTTCAGCTTTTTATTACACCAACCACAGCAATACATCTTCACACAGAATACAAATATCCCACAACACCTTGTCTCTTTAGTTTTATTATTTTCTTCTCTTTATTTAGTAAATTGTTTCTCTTTCAAACTTACTCAGAGTGTTTAAGATACAAATTTTCTTCTTGAAGATATATATATATATATATGTATATAGTATGTACACATATATACATTCAATCTACTAGACTTTTAATATAAATCCTTATTATCCCCCTTTATTGCTATTAGTTGAAAACTGTTAAATGATCATAAATGTTGTGATTAGAAAGATCTGTTAAATAAGATGTGTATTATCTTCATGCAGCCAGTGTGGGTGCATTTCCTGTGGTCATTCTACAGTGTTTGGATAATCCTTGGGGAGAGAAATTCAAAGAAACTCTGCATTCCTAGGGGGAGCACCCATCTGGGAGGACATCAGCTCCTCAGCTTCCATTTTTCTTTGCTCAGCTTCATGTCATTAACTGTGAGCTTGACTTCTTTTCTGCCTTGCAGTATGTGTGCTTAACACCTGTTGAGTTAGGCACACATGGTTTTCACATGTAGTTTTTTTTATAAAGTACAAGGTATGTGTGAACTGAGTTTCTTTTTGGTTTTCATATACTGTTTTTAAAGAACTAAATTAAAATGGAATATCAAAGCTGGTGTTCCTCCTCCAAATAATCTTACTCAAAATAGTAAGTTAAATACACTATCAGAAGCCTCTTCTCTCTCTCTCTCTCTCTCTCTCTCTCTCTCTCTCTCTCTCTCTCTCTCTCTCTCTCTCTCCATTCTGTAGCCTATGGGCCAACAGCAAACTTCATAACCTCCAGTTGCACAGACAGCAACCAAAATAAGTGGGTTCCATCATAGTTGAAGGTTCTCTCTCAACTGTTGGGCAGGGCGCAGTAGATAATTATAAGTCTTGCTTTATTGTCTCAAGATAATCACATATTAGAATTATTTTATTCTTTCCTCTTTTTCTTATGACCAGGAAACTATAGCTAATTTTAAATGCCCGTGTCCCAGCAAGAAGGGAAGGGAAGAGAGTGGACAGATGAGCAAAGGGAACACTGTCGGGCCTGGCTGTTCATTTTGAGGGAGCTTGTTGGTCTTTCCCGCTTACCTTGTGGTCATTACCGTCCATTTACAGAGAGGACTACACTGTCATCTGACTTATTGCTGTGTTCTGTCCCCCTTGGTGTCTGTGTGGACTATTGCTATCCTCTCTGCATGTTTGATCTGAATCGCCTCATTGGCCGAATTGTTCATTGTTGCAGAGAAGCCAAGTGCCTTCTCACACCTTTGTTTTTAATGGTCTCCTTTACAGATTAGCTTTTGATTTTAGACCTAGGAGCCACTTTCATTCCTTGTATTGTTTCTCTGAGGTCTTGCTCTGGATCTTGAATTAAGTCACATGTCACACTCAAGTCGTTTTCCATTGTGTTTCCACTAATGAGCTTTGCTCATCAAGGGCTCTTAATTTTATGTAAAACTAATTATAGGTTTAACCATAGCATTGTTCAACCAAGTGACATATGGCAGTGTTTGCAATTATAGGGATAGAAAATGGTAAATCATCGTTAGCTGATGGCATCCTTTTAACTACAATGCTGTAGCGACGTGTTCACCCAGGAAGGACCAGGCCTTCTAGACTGTGCTGCTCCAGCTGTGCAGGAGGAGCTGGGTCAAGTTGCAAAAGAACAGAATGCTAAGTAAACCAAAGGCGTACGCGTTGGAGGAGCGTGTGAGAGATGTAAGTGAGCAAATTGTTTTCTAGCACTTTTGAAAACTTCAATTCATTACCACCCATGGGCTGTATTCATTATAAATGTTTCATTAAAATCTAGTCTACTGAGGCCTCCCTCAGGCAACATCTTGCAAATCCAATTGTGCTTACTATTTCCTCCTTAAAATAATAGGACAACACTTCCATAAACACACTGTATAATTTGTATTTAAATTAGTGCCTAACTACATAATTTGACTTACTGAGCCGGCTTTGGTTTGCTTTGTAACCACAGTTCTACTCCAATGCATTAGTCCCCAGACCTTGGTTTTGACTGACAGATAAGTAACTAGTTTATAGTTGTGTTAGAGTTTGTTTGCTTGTTTGTTTTTCCTGCATCATCAAGAAAATCCCACATCAAATGTTTTCTATAGTTTATAGTCAAAGCATATTTTTATTCAACATGTTGGGTAATTTAAATGGATTAAATATATGTAATATGTATTCTTTTCTTCCCTGAGAGCCTCATGCATACACTGAGCACTTGGGAAAAAAATTAGGCCTGCCAGAAGTTATCTAAGAGGTATTGAATTGTTTTGAGGCCAAGTCTTCTTTTTCTTTGCCTTGTTTTCAGTATATTTAATATAAAAGAGTAATGAATGAAAATAATTTCTTTTCTGATGCTGGGGTTATATTTTTATTATCTTTAATTATGTGCATGGATGTGTGTCTGTATTTGGATATGTGCACTTGAGGGCAGGTACCTGCATAAGTCAGAAGCCTCTAATTCCCCGGAGCTGGAGTTACAGAAGGCTGTGAATCACCTCTCTGAGCGCTGGGAACCAAACCCAACCTCTGGAAGGCAGCAAGTGCTCTTAACCACTGAGCCTTCTCTCCAGTCCCTGCTTCTGGAATTCCTTATATCCCAGCACAAATTAATTGAGATGTTAAGCTAAATTTTGGTCCCAAGAAAGGAATATATTTTTAAATTGCAGTGGCTATCTTGAAATTATGTGTGGTTTAAATTAAACTAAGAAATACAAAAATATAGATATTGGGAAAGCAAAATACTTCAAGAAAATTCAGTCACAATCACTGCCCACTGTAGGGAGGAAAAAGTTACTTTTAAAAATTAATTATTTATTTAAGTATGTGTGCTTTGCACACCAGAAGAGGGCATCAGATCCCGTGGGACTACAGTTACAGACAGTTGCGAACTGCCATGTGGGTGCTGGGACTGAATGCAGACCCTCTGGAAGAGCACCCAGTGCTCTTAAGGGTGGATGGAATGACTTATGTTGAACTTGACCCCACAAAGTCCTGCTAACGCTGAGTTCATGAACCCCAACTATAAAGCACAAATGAGCATAAGTAGCCCTAGCAGCTTCTTTAGCTTCTGGTTTATTGTTTGGCATTATTATTTTTCCTGTCACTTTCTCATATGTTCTTACCTTCCACAGGCCTTTGAGGAAGCCATGCTTTGTGTTTGGAATATCCTGTTCTCTTTACCCTTTTTAGCTCATTGGGCTCTCAGCTCCAGGGTCACTTCCCCAGGGAAGCTGTCCCTCTCTCCATGGGTTAATAAGGACTCTTTGTTACTAATGATCAAGAAGAATAGCCTCTTCCTTCCCAGGTACTGACCCTGTTTGCAATTTCACGTTCATTTACTATCATTACAGAGACACCATCCACTTCAGCACTAAAAGATAAGTAAGCCCTAGGAAGGCTTCAGCACCATGTCTGTTTGGCTAAATGCCCTGCTTATAAATGGTAGAGATGAACATTTTTATATAAATAGATAATGCAGAAAGACACAGAGCATAAACTCTGATGTTAAAGTAGTCCAAACGGTAGTTTCTACCGTTTAGTAGTCAAGGCCTCAGTAGATATCCCTGGCTGACCTGGTTCTCTCTGTTTTGACCAGACTGACCTTGAACCCACAGAGATAAATCTGCCTCTAAAACTGTATTACCCCCCCCCACCATGGTTAATCTTTTAACATCAAAATTTATATCCTGCTAGGCAGAGTGGCATATACCTGTACTCCCAACACTCAGAAGTTAAAAAGGAAGAATCAAGAGGATAAGGCAAGCTTAAATTACACAGTGAGTTCCAGGCTAGGCCAGAATATGTAGCAAGACCTGTCTTTAAAAAAGATTTGGGCCAGCAAGATGGTCCAGAGGGTACAGGCAGCTGCTACCAACCTTGTCATGAGTTCCATCTCAGAGACTCACAGGCCAGAAGGAGACAGCTGACCCCGAACATTGTCCTCTGCCTTCCATTCCCTACACACACACACTTAAAATGTAATACATCCTTAATGAAAATCTTTAAGGATTTCTTTTCAAAATTTCTTAAGACAAATCACAGTATTTCTTTACAGACTCTTCATTCCTTAACTAGGCCCTTCTTGGCATTTGGCTTTCCATGTAGGTCCTTGGAATTTATTTATGTGTGTGTGTGTATGTGTGTGTGTGTGTGTGTGTGTGTGTGTGTGTGTATGTGTGTGTGTGTGTGTATTAGTCTACAAAGGGAAACCTTAGCAGACAACCGTTTGAATTCTAGAAGTAGCACAAGCTTTGCCAGGGCACAGGCTAGACACGCCTTGGGGCTGGAGTCACATCAAAACAAAGGACGCACCAGGCAGTGGGGGTTCTTCGGCAGCGCACCTGCTCTTTAGTTTTTAGATGGTCTTCCTGAGATCTGTGCACTGCATGGTTTTTTAAAATGACTTCGTTAGGCTCATTGTGTG